AAGATCAGAAAGCACAAAAAAACGTAATTGAATTAATAAAGGGAAAAAGGCCAGATAGACCCTCGAACTTACATAAAAAGGTCAAATGAGCCCTTATATAGGAGGCTCTGTCCGGCCGTTGCCATTTGGGGACGTTCCCGGAGGATTTTTTTGATGAAATTTGCTGAGCATCTTATTCATTAAGTCTAGTTTACTCATACCAAATTTCAGCTAAAACTTCAATCGGGAAGGCATTCAAATGAATTTTTGAAGATAACTGCACAGCTATCTTTAAGAATTCATTTGAATGCCTTCCCGATTAAATTGTTAGTTGAAATTTGGTATGAGTAAACTAGACTTAATGAATAAGATTCTCAAAAACATTCATCAAAAAATTTCACCGTGGACTGCCCCAAATGGCGACGTCCGGACAGAGCCTCCTATATAATGGTTTATTTGACCTTTTATGTAAGTTCGAGGGCTTATTTGATCATTTTCCCATTAATAAATGTAGTGATCACATCATTTGAAGAGCTTACAACTGCTACATTGAATAAGGTGTTCCTGAACTATTAATATGTAATGAATGAAATGCTTAGACCCCACCCCCTTACCCCACCGGGTAAAAAGAAGAAGGAAAAAATGCTTAGACATAATGGTGACAACAATTTCAAACTGAAGCATGTAGCCAAGGATAGATTGCAAAAGCATGGGTTGTTACCCAATAATGTACAAATTTTTCCAGAACTGTATGAGACGACAAGGGCAAGTTTGGTTTCACAGTTGGTAACTACTACATGCATCAAATGCTTCTACCGAAGACTATGAGTTTATAGGTGGAGTTGTATTGTGCCTTCACATACAAACTTTCAGGTTGTAGTAAACACAAAAGGGCTTTTTTGTTAACAGTCCATTTATTTTTGCTAGTATTTAGTTGTGCACTTTTATTTTGTATACAACTCTATGCAGGGGCAGAGGCAAGGCATTGAGTTAGAATGAGCCACTACAAAGAATATTTTTGAGAAAAGAATGCAGGAAATTTTTTACCTTAAAAATGTTTTTTTTTTAATTTTTGGTGGGCCCCTCTAGCTACGCCCTTGCTTGTAGTGGAAGACATTACTGAGTATCCGACCGAGTACGTGTACATTAGTTTTTGTAAACCCAAATGGAAGTTAAATGTTGTTAAACTGATATTTTTGCAAGCCAAATGCATGTTGACAATTATCACAGAGTGTTAAGAATATTTTTACTTGGATTGTTTTCAATCCCAGACCAGATATCAGTCCATAACAGACTTGAATAGTTCTAAAATACACAGAGACCAGACATTTACGATATCAAACCAAACCAGTTCAAACCAGACCAGACCATACCACACCCAATCAGACTAGACCAGACCATAAAAGTTCATTCCAGGTACAAACATTCTAAAACATCAGCATGACAAAAATGGCTAGCCAATAAAGCCCCATGCATCTTATCACTAGATACAGCTAAGGTTCAACTCATCATAATCACACATGTATGAATATCTGAACACATCATATACACAACATACAGTCAATCACGCATGTAATCTGTTCAAGGCAACATGCGCACACATGGATAAGATGTAGGGTTCGAGACATCACAAGCACATATATTTGAGTATCATGACACACCATATGCACAACACACAAAGTCAATTGCACATTTAAATTATTGAAGGCAACTTGTGCACACATGGGTAGGAGATGAGGTTCAAGACATCATAATCACACATGTATCAGCACTAAAACACATCAAGAACACGGGTGGCCTACAAAATCATCTGCACATTCGTCCTACAAGACATCCTGAATACCCATGGATAATAAGTGTGGCTCAAACTATCAAAACCACACATTTATCAGCATCAGAATACATCATATACACATCACACCAACAGCTCACAAAAATAAAATTGAATAGAGTTCAAAGAGATTACTCTCCTTTCCCATCACTGCTATTCCCTTCCTCCAGCCCTGTACAACCTTTATCGTCTTTGCCCCCGACAATGAAGCCTTCTGAGTTCCGTCGGCAATCCTGACAGTCCATCCTCCACGGTCATCAAAGTCACATCTTCTCCTTCTTACTTGGCAAGCCTATCCAAGTCATTGTACGTGTCAAAGATGGGATTTTCACCATATTTTCCCACATGCACTATGTCATATCGGTTTCATATGAACTCGATCCCCCAAAACAAACTATGTATAATATTAGTGGAACCAAACGACATAGATATGAAGTAGGAGATGAATTGTTAACATCTGGTTTTGGAGATGATTTTCCATCCATCTGTGGGTTGTCATCTAACATGGCATAAAGTATCAGAACTAATTGATCCATGCAGAGGGGTTGGAGACTGAGGACTGTGGGAGAACCAAGAGTTGCATATAAAGTGTGTGTGCGCTCGCGCGCGTGTGCATGCGTGTGTGTGCGCGTGTTGTGTGTGTGTGTTAGGGATACGAGTGAAGAGGTAAATAGGTTTTTAGGTAGAAGAGTAGCATGATAAATGTCATCCACCACTTACCAAATATAGAAATGAATTACAGAGAAGTCCAAAAACTTTATTATGAGACATCCTGAATAGGAATGATGTAACTTAATTTTGAGATGAAGGGAGTACATATATAAAAGCATATTCCTAAATAATACTTTATCCGTTCCAAATTGATTTGCAGAGTCAACATTTTTTAGTCAACCAAAGTTAAAGTTAAATCATATATATTGATATTTCGTTCAATTTCTTATAGTTAAAATTTACATATTCAAATATTACATTAAGGCTATGTTTGGCAAACATATGATCATCCATTTTTCAGCTTCCTTGACCACAATTAGCTGATTTGACTCTCCAAACAATCTATTTTGTTGTTTGGTAAACAGATTATTGTCTTTGTTGTTCGAACACAAAAAGCTGAAATGAAAAACGTAGGGCATGGCAGCGTTTCCAATCGGCTGGTTGATTAAGGGGGTGTTTGGATCTGATTCTTAAAACTGCTTCTGCTCCTTCAGGGAGTCGAAGCAGAAGTTGGAGTGTTTGAGTAAAAGTGAAGAAATGATTCTGATGCTCTAATTACTTATAAAATCAATTTTTTTAGAAGTTGAGGGAGACCAGCTTTTGAAAACTGATCCTGCTTCTTCTTTAAGAAAGAAGCAAAAGCAAAATCAGTTCCAAACACCCCCTAAATCCTATTGTACCCTTCTACTTAGAATTTGCCGCCGCCTGAATAACATTTTTTTAGTTGCTCTCGTTTTGAGCAAATGGGTGTGAAGGTATGCTTTAGTGGTTGGCTTTTAGGCTTTTAGTTAGTCCTTATTTATTTGTTTACATGTTTTTATAATTTGATTATTATAATTTGTTTGTTAGCTTCTTTCTGTTTATAATTTGACTTTAATTAATTATTACAAGTATTAAAAATGGCTAATTTGAATATTCTTTTTTCGTTAATAGAATGATTGAATGAACGTGTAGTTACTTGATGTTAGTAATTATCAGATGATATATTTTATAGAAGCTCTGTAATATTATAATATGATTTTATAATTATAGGTTACCTATGTGAATCATTTTTTTTATCGTAAAATGCAGCTTTATATTAAAATCAAGAACGCATACAAGACAATCTTCACACGGATTTTACAGATCCAATCGTGAACTCTAGGAGTATACATAGAATCAGTCACCACATTCAAAGCAACCTGACTCACTAAATCTGAAACGGGCAAATTTAAGCCTAAAACAAACAGATTTGAAACCCTGCCAATCAAAATAACTTGGAAAATCCAAACATTCAAACCAAATCCACTCTAACTAAAACTAAAACTTGTACTACTAAAGAGAAAATAATATTGCAATAAAATCTTTGCACAAAACTCTTCCTGGTATGTAGGTGGTTCTGGAGGAGGAGGAGTTCTTGCAATATGTATGAATACAAACTCGGCCACCATCGGAGCGGCCAGTCAAGGCCTCAAGATCCAACACCGATACAAAATCTCATCCGCGATCCGTTCATCCACCGTTATCTCCTCCGACATAGGTGCAATCCCAAGCATCAGAACATTTAAAATCAGAATAATTTGCCGCTCCAACCCTATATTGATTTGATGACAGAAAATCTCAACCCCTACAAAGAGGGGAGACGGCCGCTAGGTTTTTAGAGAAAAGCCAGAGCTCTCCTCTCTCTAGGTTTCGTTAAAACACTAAACCCTATACCTATGTGAATCAATTTCTAACACCAAAAGTGAGTTATAAATTGAGAAATGCTAGAGGTACCCCAAAATGGGGTACCCCATTTGTATCTCACTCTATGAGTTGCTCACAAAACCGCAATCCCGCAAAATAATTGCCCCATTTAAATTCATTGCTTTTCTTAACCACAAAACTAGGGTGGGGTACAAAATGGGGTAGGATTTGGGGTACCAATAACAATTTTGTTACGGAGTATAAATTATAAAAAAGTCAGTATATTCTAAAATATACTAATGTCCTAAAATTTATCAAATATGAATGATTTATATAAAATCAAATAAATTAAATACTAATGTCTTTATATGTCTTTTTACACGCAAACAATTGTTCTTAAACAGCTAATTTATCAAACATTTGCTGACAACCAGCTAACATGATTAACCAACTAAAACAGTTGACACTATCAGATATTTCCAATCAGCTGTCATAACCAGCTAACAGCCGATTGCCAAACAAGACCTAAATTTTTTTCAAAGTTGCAAATTCCAAATTAAAATATAATTAAAAATGATATCCTAATTAGGGAATATATTGAAATTATTTGACCAAGAATTTGATACTGTCATTGAAATCCTGTGTTATTCCCGTAATCCCGTTCAAGTTTCGAAAACGATAGTTTCAAACTTTCAATTCCGGTTCGAATTGAACGGTAAACCACAGACGGGTGAACCGTGAACATTCAACGAAACCGGAAAGTGCTAAGAGTTGGCCGGGCAGGCCGGGCAACGTACCATTCGGGTAGCTCCCCGAAAGACTGACACGCCCCCCAAAAAGAACACATCATAATCTTTCTGCGCGCAGAACAGAGTACAGAGAAGAAAATGCAGAGCTCAGAGTCCTAGGCCAGCTACTAGAGAGAGAGGAGAGTAAAAAGGAAGTACAAAATGTTAAAAGTTGCACTGAATTTTTCTTCTTAAAAATGGGAAAAAGAGTTTCTTCTGCTGGAGGACGTGAAGCTCAGAACTCAAAAGAACCGAAAGATAAAAGCAAAGTTTAAGGGTAAAGATTGAATCTTTTTTCTTTTCCTGGGGTAAAAAACTGTGTTCGGGCTGTTCTTGTCTCACTAAATGGAGTTTGCTCTTTCCTTCGGATCTAAGACAAGTCTTTGTTGAGTCTCTTCTCTGCAAGTGCGCGTGGCTGTATATATGCACATAAATCTGTATGTATAGGTGATGAAGAATTTATATGCAGAGGCATTGGTGTTGTGGTTCATCCTTCTTGTTCACTCACTTAGGCTTATTGGTGCTAACTCCGAAGGTTCTTGCTAGTATTCTCATTTCCTTATTTTTTTGGGGGTGATTAAGTATTTTATCATTTCCTTATTTTTTTGGGGGTGATTAAGTATTTTATCTTTTACTTATTTACTAGTCACCCATGGATCCTAATTTATCTTCTGGACATTCAAACGGTGTTTGAGCAGGTGATGCTTTGCATAGCTTAAGGGCAAACCTAAGAGATCCTAACAATGTGTTGCAGAGTTGGGACCCTACCCTTGTTAATCCATGCACATGGTTCCATGTCACTTGCAACAATGATAATAGTGTTGTAAGAGTGTAAGATCTTGCTACTGATGTATCCCTGCCTCAATTTGTGCAAGATTGAACATATTTTTGGTAATATTTTTAATCATAAAAGTGGAATTTAATGTTATTTTCTAGTGATCTTGGAAATGCTGGTTTATCTGGTCAATTAGTTCCTCAGATTGGTCTGTTGAAGAATTTGCAGTATTTGTAAGTACCCAAACAATTCCTGCACTTTTTGTAAAGTAAAAATTGAAGTCTTTTGTGACTAAACTGACTTCAAGAACTGCCCAAATTATTTGGGTTTTTTTTTGTGACAGGGAGCTATACAGCAATACCATAAGTGGAGAAATTCCCACTGATGTTGGGAATCTCACTAATTTGTTGAGCTTGGATCTCTACATGAACAACTTTACTGGGCCCATCCCGGATTCGTTGGGCAAGCTTTCTAAGCTACGATTCCTGTAAGTTCAGTTGTTAATTGTTATACTTTGTTTGGTAAGTAATAAAGTAAAGTAGCTTTTAAGTAAAGTGGTTTACGTAATCAAAATCTAGTAGTCGTCTATGTTCTTGAAAATTGAAATTAGGCATCAAGTAGTGCTTCCTTTTGACTTCAAGCTAAACATAGTGATTGCTTATAAGGAAAACATGAATTGGTCTACTTGGCTGAGATGCAACAGTACATATATACTTTGGTTGAGTTAAAAATTAGAAATGAGAAGGAGAAATAGAGGAGAAATGCAAACTTTCTCTTGTTTGATTTAAAAGAAAAATATGAATAAAAAAAGCTAAAAAAACGTTGCGGCCCCTGCCTTCAGACATTTCTCTCCTAAAGTAGGAATACAAGGGAGAGAAGTGCCGTACCCGTGACTTCTTTATTTCTCACTTATTTTTCTCTCTTAAAAACATGTCTTAGGGTCTGTTTGACAAGCGTTATTTAGCTGATATTGTTCTGACTGTTTATATTTAGTGAACGTTAAAGCATTTAGTAAATCACAACTATTTCAACTAAATGAGCAAGTCAGAAGCGACTTATCTGTAGATAAGTAGTTTATAGAATAATCCCGAAGTAACTACCAAACAGAGCCTTAATTGTCTACATTTTATTGTGTTTGTATATGTCTTATAGAAGTCTGTTCTAATTAAAGTTGTTAACAAAAGTTTTGCTTGTTGTTTTTCTGCACACAAATGGATAGTCGGCTCAATAACAACAGCTTGTCTGGCTCCATTCCCATGCAACTAACAAATATATCAACCCTCCAAGTTGTGTATGTAAACAAACCAACATTGTTATACTTTTATCATTTTCCCATTTTTGCCACTATGGGCTCTAAAATATTGTGGATTTATTTCAGGGATTTGTCAAACAACCGTCTCTCTGGTACAGTTCCAGACAATGGTTCTTTTTCCTTGTTTACCCCTATCAGGTATGCATGCTACTGATAGTTCCCTCCAAAATTGCTTCTTACTGCCAAAAAACAGAACTAAAGTATAAATATGTATACCCTTCTCTTTGAATGTATGTTTAGCTTTGCAAATAACTTGGATCTTTGTGGTCCTGTCACTGGACATCCATGCCCGGGTTCTCCTCCATTCTCACCACCCCCGCCATTTGTCCCAACCCAACCCATTGCTGCTCCAGGTAAATGTGAATTAAGAGCCTCTTTGATGATGGGTGAATTTGCTGAAATTTTCCAACTTGATGAAATTGCTGAAGTGGTGTATGGTATACATCAAAGTTGCTAAAAGTGTAATTTATTCACACAAAAAAAATCTTATTGACATAGCAATTCCATCTCTACCTTTACTCGCATTTATTATCAAATCAAATTGCTCTTTCAAATATATTAGTTTCCTAAAAGGGATGAGGCTGATAAGCAGAAAAAAGTGCTTCCAAAACTCCATTAAGGCTCTGTTTGCAAGTGATTGTGCTTAAATAAAAGCACTTTTTGGGAAAAAGTGATTAGTAGTAAAAGTTGGTAGTGTTTGGTAAAATAAGTGCTTTTTGTGTAATACAAAAAGTAAAAAGTAGATTCTACACGAAAACCGAGAAAGTAAAAGTTGGTATTGTTTGGTAAAATAAGTGTTTTTTTCTTAAAAAAAAAAGCCAAAAGCACTTAAATTAATTGTTTGCAAACAAAGCCTAAATGTGGAGTCTTTTCTAATGTAATATTTAAAATGGTAGGAGGAAGTAGTCCAACAGAAGCCATTGCAGGAGGAGTAGCTGCAGGTTCAGCTTTACTGTTTGCCCTCCCTGCTCTTGCATTTGCATGGTGGCGACGCAGAAAACCACCAGATTTTTTCTTTGATGTTCCAGGTGAGTAATGCCCCTTATGCAACCTTTTCTTCTAGGCACCAACAAAATGCATTTACATCAAGATATTTTTTTAGAAAATGTATTCTGATATCCTTGTGTTTGGATCAACCAATCAAGAAAATACATTTCTTGAAAGATTTACTTGTGTTTGACCCCATAAAATATTTCCAAGCAAAGCCTTTTTACTGAAACAGTTCCAAGTTTTCTACTTTTAAGAACACATCACTTATATATAAAAGAACTTATTTTTCCAGGAAACTATTTTTGACAGAAAACATTCCAAAATTATTTATACTCAGGAAGCAAACAGAGCCTTGTATATACACACATTTTTTGGGGGTTTCAGTGATGGTCAGTTTGGTTTATATATCTGCAGCTGAAGAGGATCCTGAAGTACAATTGGGTCAGCTTAAGCGATTCTCTCTGCGAGAGCTTCAAGTGGCAACAGACAGTTTTAGCAACAAAAACATATTGGGTAGAGGAGGGTTTGGTAAGGTATACAAGGGACGTCTTGCAGACGGGTCTTTAGTGGCTGTAAAAAGACTAAAAGAGGAGCGTACGCCTGGCGGAGAGCTACAATTTCAAACAGAAGTGGAGATGATTAGCATGGCGGTGCACAGGAATCTCCTCCGGCTGCGTGGGTTTTGTATGACTCCTACTGAACGCCTTCTCGTCTATCCATATATGGCTAATGGGAGTGTTGCCTCATGCTTGAGAGGTGATGTTTACTTGACAAAAAAGTAAATTTTTAGGTTCTGGAAGAAAGTAGGAAAGAGGAATTGGGTAAAACAAATTTTTTTGTTGCTTGGATGGGGACAAAAACAAGGAAGACAGGAAGTTCGTGTGGGACCAAACAAGATTTTTTCCCCCAAAGGGGTTGTTACCATTTTAGGGGTAGTTACCATTTTAAGATTGATTTTAAGATGATTTTTGTCTCTACCTGTCCACATAAATTATGTGTAATTTTGTCTTTATAAAATTATTAAACTTTTCTATATGTTCTAGTTTTACTCCAATCACACTAATAATATAATCTTTTTCTCTTCTCTCATACTGTCTTTCCTCCTATTTCATTCTTTGTCCAAACAAAGCATTGCTCATTTGCTCAATTATCATTCTAGTTTTAGGGAGTGTTTGCTAAAGATTAATATAAGTGCTTTTCAGCTTTTGGCTTAAAAAAAATTGAAATGAGTGTTTTCAAATGACAACTTCTACTTAAATTAATCACTTAAAAACTGAAAGCTGGAAGCAGGTTGAGAGGTGCTTTAAACTGCTTTTCACTTTTTCTATTACACAAAAAACACTTATTTTATCAAACACTACCAACTTTTACTTTTTCATAATCACTTTTTTTTCAAACACTACCAACTTTTACTATTAAACACTTTTCCCAAAATCACTTAAAAAAACCACTTTTTTAAAGTAGAAGCAATCGCAAACGCTCCCTTACTCTTGCAATGTGTTCATTTGGTAAGAATTCTTGAATTTAATGGATGAATCATGAATGTGTTGAAGTTTCTTTAAAAAGGTAAGACTTTGAAGCCAAATAAGATAATTACTTATTCTACTGATAAGTAGAGTAGGCAAAGTTGGTTACCAAACAAAGTCTTTCAAAAGCTAATTTGGACTACAGGATTCATTCAAAATCAACAGATCATGAAATATTGTTATCATCTGATGGTCTGTTTTGATGATCTCTCCAGAGCGGCAACCGTCAGAACCGCCACTTGATTGGCCAACAAGAAAGTGCATAGCTTTGGGGTCAGCAAGGGGCATATCTTACCTGCATGACCATTGTGACCCAAAGATTATCCACCGTGATGTGAAGGCTGCCAACATACTTTTAGATGAAGGATTTGAGGCGGTTGTTGGGGACTTTGGTTTGGCTAAGCTCATGGATTACAAAGACACTCACGTCACTACAGCTGTTCGTGGCACGATTGGCCATATAGCTCCGGAGTACCTATCCACTGGTAAATCTTCAGAGAAAACGGACGTGTTTGGGTATGGGATTATGCTTCTTGAGCTCATTACTGGACAAAGAGCCTTTGATCTTGCTCGCCTTGCAAATGATGATGATGTCATGTTGCTTGACTGGGTATGCATGGCCATTGTTCTTCCATCTTATTTCCCTACTTTTGCTCCAAATCTGGTTTCTATCCTAGGTTGGGGATGGGTTAGGTTCAGGTTCTACTTGATCTGATCCCTAATGTAGTGCCCGTAAAAAGTTTTGATACTTAAATGTGAGATCCAAAAGAAAGAATATAAAGAATCCAGTTGCACCCAAATCTTGCATACCCTTATTTCTGTCTCAAGATTAGTTTTTGTTTTATAGGTTAAAGGGCTTCTGAAAGAGAAGAAAGTGGAAATGCTGGTGGACCCCGATCTGCAGAACCAATACGTAGAGGGAGAAGTGGAGCAACTGATCCAAGTAGCTTTGCTTTGTACACAAAGCAGCCCGATGGATCGGCCTAAGATGTCAGAAGTAGTGAGGATGCTGGAAGGAGATGGGTTGGCTGAGAAATGGGATGAATGGCTGAAGGGGGAAGTTCTTCGTCAGGAGGTCGAACTAACTCCCCATCCTACTTCTGATTGGATTGTTGATTCAACAGAAAATTTACATGCAGTTGAGTTGTCTGGTCCTAGGTGATAACTTCTGATTAATATGGAATTTTTCTAGGCCTGTTTCTCCCCCTAGGCTGCATATTGGGATAGTAAAATTTTCCTTGTAGCTATCTATTCCCATAGCTTTCATATTTCTATTGCTTATAGGCTTATAGCATACCTTTTGTTGTGGGAATTTGGCATAGGTTGGGGTTCATACTTTATAAGTTTATAGTTTGTAATCTTTCAAGTCTTGATTCTTGATGGTGTTCATACCAGACTTCCTATCAGGCTATCAGCTAATTACTAATGGTTCCCCTCATCCCTGGCATATATGACATACTGGGTTGTCGTTTGGTGCACCATATCTCTGTTTATTTTGATGTGATTATTAAATCCGTTTAACGAGGGTAAAAACAGTATATTTTTCTCGACTGTTAACTGAAATGAATGATTCTTGGTTGGTCTTGAAATCTATAATATGGAATCGAAGATTTGTTATATTGTTTATATCTATTAGCACAATATTCCATATCCATATTGAATATTGATATACATGAAGTAACAAAAAGCTTCCCACAGCACCATCATCAAGGGATAGGGATGGGCCTGGGCCGGGCCCTGGGGCGAGATTTGGGTGGGACTGGGCTTGGGAATTGAAGGCCTGGTGGCCGGTACCGACCTGGGTTGGTTCTAGGACAGCGGGACTGAGCCAGGTCGGGTCTAGTTTTTTTTTTTTTTTTTTTTTTTAATTTTGGTTTTTCTGATTGATTCCTACCTCCTCACCCCCAGGCCCCAATCCCCCAACCCCACAACCTCCAACCACTTAGGCACTCAGCCCCACTGGCCTAGCACCCAATCCATTCAAAAAAATTTAAAAAAATATGCGCTTGAACCGGCCGGGCCGGTCCACCAAATAACCATCCCGAAGCCTGCTCCAAAACCCCCAGGTTCGGGCCCCAAGTCCTAGTCCTGGTTGGCTGGTACCGCACAGTAGCGGTCCAAGCCGGGTTCTGGGCCAGTTCGAGTTGGCCCAGTCCATGCCTATCAAGGGATTGATATGAATTTGAATGAGCTACGAAAAGCCTACATCTACGAACGATTCACAAACGATCATTAGTTCATAGGAAAATGAGTAATTGCCAGCCCCAGGTCTAATTTTAGGTATACATATGCATGGACCGGGCCCAATTCGGGCCCGGGTCGGGCCTAGGCCCGGCCGGGCCTCAAACTTGTAGAGGAAGGCCCAAGACCGGCCCGTGTCTTGACCGGTCCCGGTTCGGGCCGGTCCACCCGCCCGGGCCACTCGCCGGGCCGGGCCGGTTCGGTTATAATTTTTTTCCCCTACTAATTTATACAAATGCTTATTAAAAAACAAAGTTCAAGTGCTATTTTTACTTTAAAAACAGTCTTTAGAAAATTAATTGTAAGTTCTAACCAATTAATTCATTTGAGAAGTGTTACATATAAATAAATGAACGTATAATCGTATATTTATTTGAAATATGAACTACAAGTTTACAAATTACAATTGCAAATTGAGGAAAAAATTCAAACATGAAATACAATTTATAATAAATTGTAAAATACTAATCAATCGGAATCTCCGTCATAGGTAGAGCCACCCTCGGTTGATTCATCCATAAAGTCTTGGGAGGGGGTGATGCTAATTTCTTGAGTTCTACGTGCGGCCTTCAACCAATCGTGGTAGCATATAAGCGTCTCAAGAGAGTTTGCGCTCAATCTCGTTCTAGATGCCGTAAGGACGTGTTGCCGTCCGAACTAAATTCTTGTTCCACGGCAACTGTTGAAACCGGCATTGATAATACTTGCTTAGCCATCTTTGCAAAAACCGGGAACATTCTTTCTTTTTCCTTCCAGCACTTTAGAACGTCAAAGTCATCATCTTCTTCAAAATCAACGTCATAAGTTAAATACAAATTAATCTCATTAACTGAGCTTTGTCTCTAATGGAGAGACAACAGTTTGTAGAAGTAGATCGAAACACTACCATAATTAGTTACCGTTGGAGATCTTAAGATTTTGGACTCTTAATTCTTAAATACTTGTTTGCTCTACTAGAACTCTAAATGAAAATTAGGATTTATTTTATACTACTATAGTATATTATAGACAATTTAGCCACACACCACAAATTAGATTTGTCGAATACTTTCATTTGTTTTTGCGGTTCTCCACATTAAACCAAAGCTGCAAACCGGAAAAGTAGTAGTTTTTCTCAAGTCTCTAAACTCTAAACCGCTATACCATTATCTTCACTCAAGTATTTTAGTTTGTATTTATAGAGTATTCATTTGCTTTGCTATTTTTAGAGTATTTTACTAATTGTAGACTGAATCTAAAACTCTCTAATCTGGAGAACTTTTTCTAGGTTCAACCCTACCTGTTCTGAACCGAATCCAAATTCAAAGGTCTTAAAACCCGGACAAGCTTGAAAGTATTGGTTCTTGATCGGGCCCAAAAAACATAAAACCGGATTTTTTTTGAAATTTTTGCGTTCCAACTTCGAAGCCAAAATCCAGCCAAACCCGACCCAATCCTGCCACTAAATTTTAGAACTGGAAATCAAATAGGTTTGAACAAATTCTGGTCCGTCCGGTTCAATCCTCCCCCCCCCCCCCTCCATTTCCAGGGTAGGGTTAAACCGCTATACCATTATCTTCACTCAAGTATTTTAGTTTGTATTTATAGAGTATTCATTTGCTTTGCTATTTTTAGAGTATTTTACTTATTGTAGACTGAATCTAAAACTCTCTAATCTGGAGAACTTTTTCTACGTTCAACCCTACCTGTTCTGAACCGAATCCAAATTCAAAGGTCTTAAAACCCAGACAAGCTTGAAAGTATTGGTTCTTGATCGGGCCCAAAAAACATAAAACCGGAAAATTTTCGAAATTTTTGCGTTAGAACTTCGAAGCCAAAATCCGGCCAAACCCGACCCAATCCTGCCACTAAATTTTAGAACTGGAAATCAAACAGGTTTGAACAAATTCTGGTCCGTCCGGTTCAATCCTCCCCCCCCCCCCCCCCCCCCTCCATTTCCAGCTAGGTCCGTTTCCTAGTAAATGTTGCATGCATGAGTATTCTTCTCTATGAATAAGATTGATCATAGAAAAATAAATCGATGCAAGGATACTAAATAAAATTATCTATCCTTTGGGGGTAGCCAAAACTCCAAAAGCAATTTGCTCTTTAAATGTCCAACTCAAACTCAAGAATATACAGAAAGAATTGAGTTGAATATAGAGAATCAAATTTCACATCAAGTTGAACTTCAAAGTTAAAACATGAAAATACAAAGCTCGAGTTAAGCTTAGAGTTGAATAGAAAGGATCTTATTTTCATATCGGTAGGGGGATATAAAATCTAACTGTAAAAAAGTGAGGCACTTTTACATAAACACAGCTCACTTGGAAAATCAAATCAAATTGTACTATAGTTGCCAAATACATACTATTCACCAACCCAATGCCAAGGGAAGATGGTTGGTGGTGGCTAAGTGGGTTGGCTCACTGTCCATGAGGGGTTTTGGAGTTAAACAAGTTCGGGTAAGAGAAGAACGTCTCATCATCCATCGACGGCAATCTCTGAGGTTGATTGTTGTTATTAGATGGAGGAGATCCAAGTTTTTCTTGCCATTCATGGCTCTCCCAGGGGCTTTTATGTTCCGATTGAGGCTGTTCAAAGCAATCATCACTCTTTTTCTTTGAAAACTCACTAATTCTGAGCTGGGCAAGGCTAGCCACTGACCGAGCAGCTGCCGCCGCACGTTCAGCCGTTTCAGCTGCTGCCTGAGCTGCAGCCAACACATCCTCTAAATCTACACTGGATGTTTCACTTTGTTTTAAATATATAGAATGGGAAGGAGCCATTGATGGCTTATCTTCCTTGGAAATGTGTGAGAAATTAGATGATCTGCTCTCCTTGGCAGCAGACCTTTGTGGTGGGATGACTTCCTCATGCTCCTCCACATCTGGTGGTGAAGGCAAGTTTTCTGCTTTCTGGTCAAAATCAGATAATGCAGAGGCGGGAAAGGGAAGCATTTCTGGGGTTGAGATGGAAGCTGTTGTATTTGGCTGTTGTCTAGGGACTTCTGGTAAATCTAATATGTCATAATCCTCATCGTCAATATCAGAATCAGAGCGTTTGTCCATGAATCCAGAAGCAGATTGCATTTGCGGTTCATCAGTATGTTTCTCTTCAGGAAGAGGCAGCTTAGACCCGCTCATAAATTGGGTTGGTCCATGCTACAAAAATCATGCACAAGATGACAATTAGCCAGGTATATAAAAAATAATTTCCCATTTCTAAATCTTCCCATCATACCCTCAATAATTTAAAAAATACTACGTAATACACTATTACACCTACTTTTTTTTTATTTATCCTTCATTCCATCACATTATTTCACTATCTTCCCATCATACCCTCAATAATTTATATCACCTTTCACTATTCTTAATCTCACCCACTTTGGAAGTGGGAAGATATATGTGATACGGAGGGAGTATCAGACAATCGGAAACTTTTCCTAAATGCACTTTTGACATAAACTTGATGAAAATTTCACGTTAAAACCAATTCAACAGATCCCATATTTGAATGGTACTTCCCAATGGACTTCTTAATTTCCGATGACTTCAAGTAAATTATCGACATTATGAAAGTAACAGGTCTAAAACCTAAGCCGAAAATGAATTTGTAGAAATAACTTTGTCCACCACTAGTAGTTACACATGTAAGATGCATTGTACCAGAATGCAGGTTAAAGGAAACCATAGTACTATAGTGACATACAAGCAAGTCTTCATGCGGCTTCAACAATTCAGATTCGGTCCCACTTGGGTCCCACTCTAGTCCATGCTCTTCAGCAATTTCTTTCAGAACCTTCAGTTTCAATTCAGGAGCAGGAGCACGAATAGATAGCTGGTCTATCAACTGCAAATGTAGTAAAAAGAACAAAAGATGGGATTCATGCTTTGGTGGGATGAAGATTATAGGAAAGAAATAAGAACAAAGGTTACAGATGGTGGAGTTCAAAGCTGTTTGGATGGAAAGAGGAAGAAAAGAAGGAGCTACAAAAATGAGGATCGGTGTAAAAACATATTTATCCTTTACCATTCACTTAATTTTAAAAGAAAATAAAAGGTTAAATTGTGCCATTTTAAGTAGTGAAAGGAGCCCACCTTTGAAGTTTGAACCCCCTTCCCTCAAAATCTCAACTCCTAAATAGAGTCTCATTTATATCAATCATAGGTAGTAAGTAGATTGTATGACCTGTCGGTTGACACCACATTCGGGCCTTAACTCTGTGGCAGCAGCAACAAATTCTTTTCCATATTTACCAGCAAATGCCATTTGAACCTGTAGCAGTTCTGGGAGATCAGCACATCTTGGTGCAGCGAAACATATACTGGAAATCGATTCTTTCAGATCCAGAGGACATTCCCTGCCAATACAAAACAACAACAAAAACATCCAAGCCTTAGTCCCAAAAGATTTTGTGGTCGGCTAACATGAATCGATCCATGTTAGATTGGATGCATATTAGGCAAACCACTCCGCATTAGGAATTTAGGAGGCAAAATCACGTAATGTTACACATTCTATAATTATTACATAACCGAATTTCGACTAAAATTAAACAAACTGTAGGCTGTAGCTAATTAAATGCTTCACAGATCACAACATCAATCGTGCACAAGTAGAATTAGAAAGGATGACCGAAGAATACACTCTTAATATATATCAGAAAACAAAATCACTAAGTATTTACCTTTGTGCCTCAATTATTGGAAGCCGAACAGCTACGAGTTCACAAAACAGCTCAATTATCTCCTGTGCAGCAACCATTTTCTCTTCTCTAATAATATGCTCCACCTAAATTCACAATGGAAAGCCAATCAACTTAAATGTTAACTATCACTTAAGTGTCTCCAAATGGGATGGTTAGATGAACTGCATCACCTGCATGTAAATTGAAAATAAATTTATAAGCATTGAGATTAAAGTATACCCGAATCCGAGCTGTGGCTTCCTGACCAGTTTCCAGAAGCTTGGCGATTTCTTTCCTCATTTGTTTCAGTTGAACCTCTCTACGGTTTCTCAACAGCTTTATCCTAGGAATTGTCAGCTTCAGTAGAGTTTTACTGCAAATCAAATTTGAAAAATGTGATCATCCACACACATAACTCAGGACATAATTTAAAGTAGCGAAGTTTTAGAGCCTTCAAATCATCCAAAACAGTTAAAGAAAATCTAAATTTGAAGCCATTATTCTCATACGACAAAAAGGGAATTGACCTGCGATCATCACTATATTTCAATTTTTTTTAAAACCTAATACGAAGATCTCCCTAACTATTCAAGAAACTTAACATAACCAATTCATCACAGTGTAAAAATGATTTCATCTAAGAGAAACCCTAGCTACAAAACTAGAAGACAAACGAAAATTCGTTACCATTTGGAAGCTTTGAACCCTCGGTTAAAGAAGGAATCCATCCGAAAATCTAGCCTCGGTCAGAGCGTGGTTGCAGGGAATTGGTCAAGCTATTCAAACTCACGTTTACTGCGAAATGATGATGAGAATTTGTAAAGGTTCCAACAAGAAGACGAGACTGAGGTTACAACTGGATTCTCAGTTTCCTTACGGTCTAAGGGATCTTAATACAGTTATACTTATGTTTTTATTTACTCCGTACATCATACTCCCGTCCAATAAGATTTTCACAATTTGGTTTACCATGTTTGATGGACCATAAAATAAACAAATTACCGTTTGCTCTCAAATTATTTTTAGAAAAAATTGGGAAAACTGTCCAATAGATCCTCGAACTTTCATAAAAAGGTCAATTAAGTCCTTCTATAGGAGGTTCTGTCTAGACGTCGCGATTTGGGGCAGTTTCCCGTGGAATTTTTTGGTGAAAATTTTTGAGCATCTTATTCACCAAGTCTAGTTTGCTCATACCAAATTTCAGCTAAAACTTCAATCGGGAACACATTCAAATTAATTCTTGAAGATAACTGCACATTTTTGCGTTCTCGAATTAATTTGAATGCGCTCCCGATTAAATTTTTAGATGAAATTTGGTATAAGTAAACTAGACTTGATCAATAAGATGCTCAAAAAATTTCATCAAAAAATTCCACCGGAAACCGCCCCAAATCGCGACGACCGTACAGAGTCTCCTATAGAAGGACTTAATTGACTTTTTTATAAAAGTTCGAGGACCTATTTGACAGTTTTCCCGAAAAAATTAAATATTCAGAAACTACATTAAAAGCTTTACAAAATCGCAAAAACCTGAATAAAAAATGTGATAAAAATTTAATATATAAAGTAAGGGATAAAGTGATTTGTGTTGACCAAATGAATAATGTCCGAGACAACTTAGCGGGCCGGAGGGAGTACGTAACAGGAGATGGAATGCTTCTAATAAAAAATGGTTTTAAAAAAGTGATTTTGGAGAAATATCTAATGGTAATAGTTGTTAGTATTTGAGAAATAGTTGTTTTTGAAAAAATTAAAGTTGATAATGTTTGATAAAATAAATGTTTATTGTATAATAGAAAAAGTGAAAATTAATTTAAAACAACTCTCCACTTGCTTTCAACAATTAGCATTTAAGTATTTAATTTAAACTAATTGTAATTTGAAAACACTCATTTCAACTTTTTAAGCTAAAAGCTGAAAATCATTATTTTTAGTCGTTTGCAAACACTGCCTAAGTGTGTTGGGCATTTAAGGCTTATCGAATAACATATTAATAATGTATTAATAGCGGGTGACTAGAGCAATGAATTCACATGCTATAAAAACAATGGATAATGTATTAATTGTTTGGCCGTAACGAATAGTAGGTAATGCTGATAATGTCCTATTTGAAAACAATGACAAAAAACATTGTTGTTTGTAATGTTTCTATTTTAGCGATTTCGTCCAAAAATGCTAAGGTCGAACAACTATTTACCAAACAAGGTTTTCATTTTTTTTAAACTGCTAAGCTTAGCAAGTCTACTTACAATTTAAAACAAGTCTCCTCACAATGATATCCCAAATCGGTTGAGAAAATTTCTTCCTTTGATTTTGTTGAAAGATATTAGTCAGACATCTTTTGTCATTGACATTAAGACCCTTAAGGATAGTTGTCGTGGTATTCTAGATATCACTAAGAAATATATATCACCAATTTTTTTGGAGAGGTTTTAGATGAAAGGGTTTTCATTGAGTGTTGTTCTCATAGTAAGAGGATATAATTTTTGTTTGAACCAATGCCCTAATAATGACCTTGGATGAAAATTCATGAATAATATCCCATATGTTTCAGCAGTTGGATGCTTAGGATGTACCCAAGTTGTGACCAAACATTTCCTTTATTGTCGGGACGTTGGGTCGCTATATGAGTAATCCGAATTTGGACCACTCGAGGAGTGCTAAGAAGTTCATGAGGTATCTCAATGAAACAATTGATTACATGTGTGTGTATAAAAGAAGTGTCAACTTGAAAGTTGCGATTATTCTGACTCGGACTACGTCGACTGTGTTGATTCACAAAAATCAACTTTGAAATATAATTTTGGCATGACCGGTGGAGCTGTTTTAAAGAAGAGTGTCAAACAAACTTCGATGGCTACTTCTAATATGGTGACCAATTTTTCATTGTTTTGAGGCCATATCGAAAGGTGTATGACTTAAGAATTTTATTTATGGGTTTAGACTCTTAGAGTTATTGATTCAATATCTATGTTAAAATAAGTTTATTTTGACAACTTTCATGCTGTCTTATGGACAAAGAATGATAAGAATTTGGGTCGAATGAAGTATCAACACACATTACTTGTCTATTAGAGAGCATGTCAAGTACTAGAAAGTTATCATCCATCACATTAGTACAAAGTTGATGATTGTCGATCCTTTGATTAAAGGCATGAAGGATCATGTACCGAATATAGGACTTTGTTCCAATTTGCATTAGTGTGTGTGTGTGTGTGTATGTATATATATATATATATATATATATATATATATATATATATATATATATATATATATATATATATATATGTATATGTACCCAGTTATATAAGAAATTCTTAAGTATTAAGATGTTTTCTCATTAAAATGTACCCATTTTAGTACAACATCAGACCTTAATCCAAAAGAATTTGAAGCCAGCTATCACAAATCAACATATGAAACCAGAATTAAAAAAGATGCAAAGAGATCAATGTATGCTCTGCCAGAATATTCTTCCTCCACTTCGCTCTCTCCAAAGTCATACTCTCATCTAACGCACAAAGCACCATATCATTCCTGACCACTCTAATAATACATGTTTGTTTGCACCATCCTTTATTATCCCCACCTCTGATACCCACCTCTTAATTCATCTAATAGGTGCACCAATCGAGCTTCTACAAATATGTCCACATCAATGCAATCGAGACTCTAACATTTTATCTTCAATATGTGCTACTCCAACTTTTGTCGAATTATCTTCAATAGGTGATATTTCTCAAGTGCTTGATAGCTGTTATATTTATTTGTGTTTAACATAAGTATTTATAAGTATTTGTTGAAGAAAAGAAGAGAAATTGGGCAAATACCATCAGAATGAGAGCTAGAGCATAAATCATTGTCATGAACGGGTTTTTGGACCAAGAGGATGACGTTCTGCCCATACTTTGAGTATAACTTATTGTAGAGAATTCCAAATGATCCGATTCAAAGTTTCACGTGAAAGATAACTCAATAAGTTACAAATGTTGTGAAGACATCATGGCCAGAATAGGAAAGAATCAAGACTCCATCAACCAATAAAGTCAGATGTTGCTTGTAGGATATCAGGATGCACACCTCTCTGTGTTTTATCTATATCTTTTGATTGGTCGATTGAAAATACTTAACTCAAGTTTTGATGGATATAAGACTTTATTATCTACAACTTTGGTGAAGGAACCATGTCCAAATTCATAACGCAACAACACCAAAATCCCTGGACAAACCCGGATCTGGAATTGTGCCAAACCAGCGCCGGTAACATGTATAAATTTCGGCGTCACTACCGATGTCAGTTCACTACCCAACCAGCGCCGGTTCAACACGGTTGACCCTGAACCGGTGCCGGTTACCCCAAATATGCAGAATAACCAAATGACGTGCTCGAATATTTTGAGTTGATTTGAAGATATTTTTAAGGTATGACTCAAAATTTTTGCCCCAAGTTGATTGAGGATCATGAATAGACCACCAAAGATCATTTTCAAGCTTATATAAACCATTCAATCCATCCCAAATTCATTATCTAATCTCAATTTAATTCATTAGTTAATATCTAGTTTTTATAGTTTTTCCTTGTTCTTCATGGTGTTCTTGAGGTGTGGAAGACCATTTCTTCCAACCATTGATGTTCAGGTAATATTTCCTTTATATTTACATGTTCTTATACATTCAAATTATTATAATCTTGATTAATATGATTGTTAGAGGCTAAGGCATTTAGCCAATGTTCGGGGGATGAACCTCTACGTCTGCTAGTTTTTGATATTTGTTCCAAGTCAAATTTTATGATTTATTCTTCTCATGTTTAATTTTCCAAATATGTTATGCAACATAATATTATAATACATGCATTGATATGAAGTAACTAGCATTGAAATATCAATTGGACACTAGAAGAAGTAATTCACGTTTTACTTCCTTTAAACTAATTATAAATAAGTACGTTGCATAACATCTAGAGATTTATATGGTCAATTAACGTTGCAATATAAACCGTTCTCTAGAAGAATAAACATAAAAAGTATTGAGGATAGAAATATACCCGGTGATGTATGTTGCGTTTGTGGTATCTTAATATTCAACAGAGTTTTCTCTAGATGAATGTGAGTCATAACGAGATTCACACGTAGCGAAAAGCATGCTCTTACTGCCTTAACTGGGGTCGGGAATATAATAGCGATACCTTTTATCATAACCGGACTCATAAGAATTGACAAAGAACTTTTATTGAATTCTAGTTAATGTTTGGGTGAAACCCGATGCCTTGGTCATTTTATCATATATTCACTTAAACAAACAAAAATATCTGTTTTTAATTACTTTTATTCTCTATTTTAATTCTCAAAACCGAACTTTATAGAACGACGTTTGCCTGTGGATTTGACCTGGTATTTTACAGGAATTTATTACTACATCGACGCTTGTATACTTGAAAATTTAGCCCGATCAGTGTTCTTTTCTAGTATGTCAACACATCATATTCAACATGCGCATCTCAAACTCACTCATTTTTTTGAGTGTAGCCTTGTTTCACTTCCAATGACGCATGCCTAATTGATGTTCGGTAAACTTTACCCCTCAACCTAGTTAACATACCTCGATCACATAGAAATCCCGACGGACTCTTCTATTTCATCCACCATATCCTGATTCTATGTGATACATCTCCATCTAATTCATTGTCCTTCTGAATTATGGAGCCAAGATAACAGAACATGTCACTGATTCTATGTGATACATCTCCATCTAATTCATTGTCCTGAATTATGGAACCAAGATAACATGTCAATGATTGGTACTTCTTTACCATATAAGGTAATCTCACTATTGCCATTGTTTCTATCTCTACTAAACTAGCTTGCACTACATATAATCAGTCTTGATTAAACTCAGCCGG